TTTGGTGGGAAAGGGATTCGAACCCGCAACCCTCAGATTGCGAGTCGAGCGTCTTATCCACCTGGCCATGCCGGGCCAAAAATATAAAGTTTGTCACTACATTCAAAATTTTACTGACAAGCTTTTTACCCTACCTTAAAGCAACAGGCACAGGCTGAGAAAGGTATTGTTCATTTGAAGCATTATTGGATATGTTTTCAAGTTATCCCTTGCAGTTCTAACCATTTATTTTCGGGGTGGGTGGGTGTCTATTACATAGGCAAGTGTCAAATACTGGAGAATGTTGTCATTGAATAAGTTCTTAATTATTTAATCACTTAAGTTGGCTTGTATCCATTTCTTTAAGGTCATCATTTGTTTGACCAGACAAGCAAAAATATATAGTGTTCTTTTACCTAATAATGGCCCAAAAGTAAGGTTGAACTCTTAGCAATAAAATGTTATCACAAAAAAATATATTATATGCATTATTTGTGAACTGATCTTCCACTTATAGAAATAGCATGTGTTCAAAAACATACTTGAATTTATAATCATGAATACAACATCATATTGACTTATAAAGATTTAATAATGCTGGTCAAGACTGATTATTTAACATTTTGCTTTTGTTATACAGTATTGGAAGTAAGTATGAAAATACAGAGGTGAGATGTACATAGGAGTTATAAACATTAACTAACTGCAACTAAATGGCCAATTTATCATTAGTGCAATACATTTTATAAAATGTACAACAAAAAGTGAGTAAGCTGTATAATACACAAGTATTTTGTCTTTGCTTTAAGCAGAACAATACATCTTATCTTTATACGAACAAAAGTTTATCAATGTATGGGAAATATTTCTAAAAAATGACGACTGAAAGTAAAAAAGAATGTTTAACAATATTTCAACCATACTATATCTGAAACATCCAATACCAGGGCTCATTAGACATTGTTCCAAATATCCTGTATTACTCTCTACAATTCAGCCAATTTGTTTGGTTGCCATTTTACCCTCTCAGTTTCCATAAGTCCATACAACCTTAATAATATTTATATATGTGTAGGCCAAGACATGATATTGAGTGTTCCACTGATATTTTTCTTTCTTGCAGATATTGTTTCATTACATTTTGCTGTGGACTTCAGATCACTGTCTTGTTGGAATATGAAACTTTGAATATCAGTTGTTGTTCCTAAGGAAATGAGATGATGAATAAAATTTTATTTTATCAAACAAAATTTAGGGTGTCAGCAATTCTGTCATTTGTGGCTGAGGCTAAAACATAGCCCATTTACACTATTCCCATAGAATGCCTCACTATGGATGTTGTACATTGAACATGATACTGTTCTCTTCTTTATCATCAAATAAACTATCATTAATTATTTCTAAACAATTTGAATTCTGATTAATCTATAAAGAGCACCCTATTTCGGTTTTGCTCATCTCACTGTTTGAAGTCCCATTTCTAATTTAGACTTTGGGTTTGGTTATTTCTCCTAAGCAATGTGTTTTGATCAACTATACTGACTCCTCTTTGTGCTAGTATACGTCTTACTGTTCTATAGGTAAAATTCACTTCTGTATTTACTGCTAGGTTATTGGCAATAACTCTAATGGACTGTTGTGTATTACATAGAGAGCATATCCTGTGTTACTTTATATCACTTTTGAATATTTTTGATTTTCTATCTCAACTACTTCTATTATTAACAGTTCTAGTTTCTCATACCCTCTTCAGACTTTCCATACGTTTTGCACTGAAACATGAAATTTCACCTCAGTCTATACCATGAAATAGAGTTCACCAGTCAAATCTCTGATTTCTATACATTTTTCATGTGGCATTTCTGTCCTGGAACCCATAAGTGCATTCACAGCACTACAGCTAAGAATATTATGATTGCCTGTACTTTTGTAGGCATTATGTTGATGTGGCACTGTCTGATTGACTATATAATATCCAATCAAAGTGTAAACTGTCAACATCTAACTGTACTCTGATGCAGTTCATTTTCATAACATAACATTAAAGGACACCAAGGGATTTTTTTGGTTCATCTAAGCTGTTCTAGCCACTAAATTAAGTTAAACCCTTAAAAAAAACCTCATAGCTAGCTCTTATCACTCAAATATTTATCAAGCTTTCCCTTAAGCTCCTGTTACAACAGTAGTAGTCATGCAAAGCTGGGAGCATGCGCACTGGAGTTTCTAGAAGGATCATGAATTATCGAGGAACTCTGCGAATGTCCAAGTGTTTGCCAGGTGCCCTCTTTTTTAGTATGTAAGCCTGGCGAGAAAAACCAGCACAAGAGAAGGGCAGAGATAGATAGATTGAGGAGAAGAGATATAAATAGATTGAAGAGATAGATAATTGAGTCAAGCGAATAGTAGGCACCGTAAGTAAAGTGTGTGAATCACTGCAATTTATAGTGTGTGTTATAAAAGTTGTTAAGTTTATAGTGACTGTGGAAATTCTGTGTATTACAAAAAGTTGTATCGAGAAAGAATAAACTAGATTTAATCAAGAAGGGACTTGTATCGCTAAAGTTTCTCAGAAAGAATTTTTACTGGAAATTATCAAACAAGCAGATACGTAACACTCCCTTACATTAATTGAATCCACCACATCTGAAAATAACCCATTCCATAGGCCAACCACCCTGTTAGAAAAATAAAGCTGTCTCAGCTGAAGTTGACTTCAACTGTGCCAAAATTTATACTTCAGTCCTCTAGTCTTACCATTCTAACCATTAAATATGAAAAAGATGATGCATCAACACCATCAATTCCCTTAATATTCTCAAACACCGCAATCAGATCCCCTCTAACTCTTTATTCTTGAAGAAAAAACAAGCTCAGAGAATTTAATCTGTCCTCATATGATAAGCTTTCCATCCCAGATATAATTTATCTAGTAGCCCCCCAACAATTCAATGTCCTCTCTAAGGTAAGGAGCCTAAGACTGAATACAGTACTCCAAATGTGGCCTAACAAATGACCTATACAATTACATTATAACCTCTTTAGACTTCTTTTCAATATTCCTGTAGATATAGTTTAAAATTCTATTTTCCCTGCCATTAGCAACAGCATGTTGCTTGGATGGCTTAAGAAACTAATGAAGCATAACACCAAGATCTTTTTCTTCCATAAAAAAGAAAAAAGAATCACTTAATGTTTATATTTTAGACCTATTTATATTCACTGATTTCACAATTATTTCCAATTCTGCATCATATATAATTTTCACATTTTACTTTTTATATTTTCATAATATGCAGGTTTTTACTACAATATAAAGTCAATTTGATGTTTTTTTGTACATTTAACAAACAATTCTTACAGATCTGATGTTAACATCTGTAAATAATAGACTGTAATGTAAAAATGTTTCAATAAGTATAATTAAGAAATGAAGCAAAATTGTTTATAATACAAGTTATCAAATTTTTTGTAACAACATTCTTAAAACAAGAGATTTTATTCTAATCCAAGTTTATTAATGAATGCAGGGAAGAGCAGTTGACCAAAACTAACCTCATCTACCAAAAACAGTCTGATCATCTGAACTAATGATTTGTTATCCCTCCAACGTCTTGTCATGCTGTCCCACTTTTCCTAGATATTAAAATGCAATCAACATTAACATCAAAGTATCACTTATATAATCAATAATTTATCAAAATGAATCAGATCATGTTCCATATAGAAATATGTATTTACAGTCACAGAGTTCATTACACCATCAGAGAAAGTGAAAAATTATTTTTAACATTTTACAGGCATAAAACTAATTTTGATGGTATCAGTTTCATACAATATACAATATGAGGTTTAGGTTGAATTTAGAATAGCACTTATGCTATAAAACTGATACCATCAAAATCTATATATTAAAAATACCTTTAAATCTCTTTTCATGATAGAAGACTGAACTCTCTATTTCAATATAAATTTATAAAAGTGAAATTATATTGTTTTTATCGATCTTTATTGATCTAAATAACTGTCAAAATTAAAAAGCTCTTTGTCAAGAAATATTCACTGAAATGAGCAAAAGAATCAGAAGATAGTCAGCTTATATAAAAATTTAGTTCATCAGTAAATCAAATAACAAGATAGTTCGTTAGAGGTAAGAATTACCATTTAGCTGTACTAAAAATGATACAAGGCTTACTCAGTTAGTTTTCATGTGCTTAAAAACAACAGCTCCTTTACATGCATAAAATGATGACATTTATTCCTTTCAAGTAAGAAATGTGGAGAGATATTAACCAAAACAGAAATATTATTAACTATTCTATAAACAAATTAGAAACACACTAAGACATAGATACGCAATAAACAAGCAGTTAATAGTTATTAATATATGTAAAGAAAAATTGAGATGAATTTGAAATGAAAAAGCTTTAGAGAGTAATTGAGAAGAGATTAATCCATAAATTTGGTATCAGCCTCATTCATACTGGTAAAGAAATTATAATATAAACCTAGATATGGACACGGACCTTTCTCAATAGTCCCTAAGTTAGATAAAAGCTAAAACACTTCCTGGATCAAGAAATCACATTGAAACTAATTCAATTAAGGTGAGAAAGAAAAAGGGTTCTAAGAAAAGTGAGAAGTGGCAATCACAAAATAATTTCCAGGCCTTCCTTAAGGACATCCCAAGTTCAAGGGTCCAACTCCATTGTTTTCTTAAAGCTCATAGTCATCCCCATACTGCAATCCACTGGCTCTATGGATATCAAGATCATGATAACAAATGAGAAATCATCTATTCATTCCTGCATGCCAATCTCCACGAGTCAAAGGAAAGAGACAGATAAGAAGAAAGTCCAGAAGAAATCTTACTTCTCATCAAAGGATGTCCACTATACCATAAAAATTAAGATTTTTTATAGAAATACCAGAACACTTTCCCACCAAAATAATATTGATGAAAAGAAAAACATCCTAAGGTATAAAGACCAGGATGGAAACATATTGATGAGGGTCAGGAGCAGATGCAAATGCACAAATTACAAAAATCAATGCCAGATTTCACTTGCAGAGAAATGTCTGGAACAAATTCTACCTTTCACAATATATCCTCCCTGACCTAGAAGACCCAAATACATCACAAGAAAGAAGGAAAAAACAACATAGCAGTAATCAATTTAAAGCAAAAAAAAAGGAAAAGTCAGATCCATGATAACTTCCAATTCATACAAAAAAGAAAAACTGATAAAATCAGAGTCAAGACACAAACACCTAAAGTCTAAAGAAAATTGTAACAACAAGGCATGGCCATATCAAAAACAAACTAACTTCAGGAGAATGTCAAAAAAATTAAATGTTACCATGAAAATGTGGAAGTCAAGTAATGACAACGAAGCATAACAGGTGGTGATTGACCTATAAATTCTAACAACAGAATCACGAGTCCCATGACTAATCACCTAAAAATTGTCATAAGAGTGCAATTTTTTCAAGATTGCAACTAATAAATGGATAAGATAAAGAGAGGTCTAACTCTTAATAAAAACATCAAAAAGTATATGTAATTCATAAAAGCAAGGCATATCATGTCTGAATAATTTTATTATAATATAATTATTTCTGTAAGAATATAGAATCAAAATATTAAAATATAAAAGCCATAATTAATTCAAAGATTTATCAAGCTACAATTAATTCAATTGAAAAGATAGGCTCTAGAAAACCTCATAGATTCTATAGTTCCTGATAGCAAGATATAGTTATTTTGATAGAACTTTGATTACAATTAATTTTTTGATAGTTATTTTGGGGGGGAAGAATTTAGAAATGTTTAACTTCCCAAAAACATATATAAAAAAATGTTTAAAATTATATGCAAGGAAATAAATTTACATTTACTTATTCCCATAACTTATCAATACAAAATATCATAAAAGTTGTATACATCCATTAGATCAACCATACTTACAGGTGTGGTAAGAATGATGGAAACTTTCTGCAGCTCAAAGTAATCATCAATATCAGTATCCCCTGTCAACTCTAAACACTTGAGATGAAAAGCATCAAACTTTCTCTTCCAGTCCTCCAAACGCTCACTACAGAGAGCTTTTATAGGAGCCACTACAAGCCCAAATTATCAAATTACATCTCAGAATAAAATAAGTATGCTTAGGGTTATTATAATATTCTATTTGCAAATATTCAGAAATTCAGTTATTTCCATTTATTAAATTTCTTTGAAGAGTAAACTTTGTTTTAAAACTTCACAACAATAGAAAGTTAACTTGAGTCTGGGACATTTCGTTATGGACAGCTTGTAAAATTGACTTTTTGTTATGAAAACATTTTGTTACGGCATCCAAGTTACCATCACATCATCACAAAAGATTTCATTACAAATGTGTTTTTTTGTGATTGGTGAATTTTATTACTAGATTCACCACTATGTAATTTTAGTACCAGAGAATGCCATCTCACCCCCTCTCTTGCAGAGAAAGATCAAAAGTTTAAGTTTGAAAAATTTTATCTGACAGAAAGATCAAAATTCTTAAGTTTGGCAAGTTTTCCTCTTTGATGGATATGGCATGCGTGAGGATTTATCTTTTAAGTATCACTGTTTGTGACACCCCCTACACCCTGTAACACATAATACAGGCGTAGACACCCTCTCACTTGATAGCATTATGTAATTTTTGAATAGCCCCCAAATGAATGAAAAATAATAATCTATTATCACTTTTTATTATTATTACCAATCAATTTTATATTAAAAAACTACCTATCACAAAATCAGTATTCGTATCAAAAACTGCCATATCACAAAAATGATGTAACAAGGATGCACCCATCACAAGTTGTCCTTGTACTAATGTGGCAGTAATGAAATGTCCAGTAACTAAATATTAGTAGCAAAATGTCCAGATCCCATTTAATTCTTTCACCATAAAACAGGGAAGAAAAAGATAGTCTTTACTTTTTCATAATTTTGCTTTCAATCTTCACTGATTAAGGGTTAACAATGAGGTTAAGTATCATATTATAACCATGTGAACTATAAAAAATAAGACACTTTTTAATACAAATATGTTTATCAGTAATATATTAATTATGTAGTATTACTATATATTACTGAGTCTTTTTAGTATTTACTGAATGCATTTGTGCATATTTTCTGCAAAATTCACTGAATGTTTGAGACAATTTTTCATGATTTTTCCAGAAAAACTTTAGCTATACAAATCTTTAGTTCAAGTCTATAAGATAAAAAAAATACAACATATCTCCAATTTTCTATTAATATAATGATCTTAATTTCCACACAAAAATTACTTTCACAACAGAATGGGATTAAGATATCTAGGGAGTCAACAGTAAGCACTAAATAAGTTTAGTGGGCACTTTTTTCAAGAAGTTAAATTTCTTAACCAAGTTTTATTATCATAAAGACTCATAAACCAAAAGTGTAGATCTATATCATGCTAGGCATCAAAATACATGAAAAACTATGAAGTATTTCATATTAAAAGCACTTTGTTCTGACTTCTTTATTCATCAATGGCATCATTAAAATGTACTGTTTGCAAAATGTCGCTCTCAATGCACTAAACAAACAGAGCACTCAAACATCCTTTTCTTATCGATGTTTGTAACTTATTATTATGTATGTATTTATAAATGTTCTCCACACCAAATCAACTTGCTACCATCAAAGTAAGGTAAATGTGAAGTGCAACTGCTACATCAAGAATAGTTGACTCAATATTTTGGTCAATGATGATTCAGTTCAGCCTCTTGATGACTACATTTTATATAATTGTAGTAAATAGCTTCACATAACTGCGGAACTGCTCAAATTAATAGTGTCTCTTATGTAGGCAAACTGTTGAGTCACAGTGATCACCAAAGACCAACCAAACTAATGACTTCTCTAGTTCAATTTTTAAGTTTTTGTAACTTATTAGGTTTTGAAAGAACATAATGATAATCCAGCTCTGATCCATGATAAATTATGAAAAAAATAAAAAATGCATTAGTTTAAAATATCCCTCCTGGCCTACTGCTATACTGTTATACTTAATTTGGCCTTCTTTTTCAGAAATTAACTAAAAAAAACCTAAACTTTTTTAACTTTCTGTAATGGAAATTATTTTGCTTAAAGCACTCTTTACAATCATAAAAGTATGTGCACAACAGTAAAGAAATGTACTCATTATTGAGGCAAGTTATATCTCTGTTTTTACACATATATTACATATATGAAAAAGAGGTTCCAGTCTTAGAAATTTTTGGTCTTGATATTTTATTTTGATGAAAAATTTTAACTAGCTTTTGTTAAACTTTTTGTATAAGAAGTGGCTATTTGGACATGCTAGGTGCTTCCTTTGTTATAATTAAAATAAACAGATACAAACCAAGTAAATAGTTCAATATCCTAGAACTTTATGATAAAACTCTCATTTCTAATACCTAAAATGAGTAAACATTAGTGATTCCTGGCAAATAACATAAACATGTGAGAAAGCAGCTCAACATATTTAACTTTACACCTCAAACAAAGAATACATGACTTGTCCTTACTGCATTGCCTTTCATTAACAGACCTAGAATAGTATGATCAGTATGCCTCATGGACACTCACTCTAGTCTTAATAGATATGTAAGCAGAGAGAGTTAATAAATTTTAGACAATTAGCTACAACATTCAAGGCACACTTACTGTACACAATTTTAAAATGTCTCTCCTTTTCAGAATAATTTTCCATTCTCATTAAGAGACGAATAATAGCTAATTCAAAAATAACAGTTTTCCCAGATCCTGTTGGAGCGCAAACAACCAGTGGTTGGTCAGTATATAATACCTATAAATAAAGTTTAAGGACTATAAGTGCACATAATTATAATCAGACCCTGCAAATCATATTTCAAAAACTAATTTAAATATTGAAAAATCCATTTTTTTACATAATGCTACATTTTTTGGAGTAAAAACATGTTTTACTTAAGTCCTTCCTTTTCACATATATAACTGTTTTAAATAAGTTGTAAATGTATCGTGACTGGCTTGCACAAAACTAAAACTTTCCTCTCAGGTGAATTAATATTAACGTCTGATCAGAGAAAGCTACCTACTTATACAAAAAATAAAAAGCATCCCAGTAATAAACATAGATAATTAAATATACTTTTCTTATGTTCTTACTTATAAAGATTAGAATGCATTGTTTTATCATTTAGGTACCCTTACTGTTAAAAGTATTTTCTGCTGTAAATACAGCAAGGTGTTATGATGCCATACTTTTCTGCACATGGACCCTACAACACCTTATGTCTGTATGATATAATAATTTGACTAATCTGACCACCAAAGTATGCTATCTATGTAGGTTTTTTCTCCAGTTCATTTGGTACCAAACTGTCACATGATCCTCAACTGAATGTACTAAAAGAATTTTCCAGAAGTAGAAAAGTAGGAGGACGAGAGGTCCAAATCATATTTAGCTACTCTAAAATGTAGTATATAAATAAATTGAAAGTTAATCACACCTTATATGAATTATGTTTCAGGTTGCATGCTGCCCTTGGAGCTATTTTCTCCATTGTCAGTCATGCTTAATTTGATGGTCATAATTATGCATATTGCCACACTCAACAACTTCCACTGTAACAAGCTTCTGCAAAGGTTACTGTAGTCAAGTTTAGACCAAGAATCTTGATAAGCATTCCACAGATCCTCCACTTGGATGCTAGCTTCTAAGACAATGTTTAAACAAAAGAAAGACACAGTCTAATGCAGCTTTCGAGGGACTTTATAAGTATTTTGTTGAAAAGGACTGCTGTGATTCCTATTTATTCCCTAGAAAAACGTGTGGGAAGCAATGAAAGCACAATAAATATTTGAAGAAAAATGTTTTTAAACTTGGTAAATAAATCTTCCATAAATGGAAATACAAGTAATGATTATGCTGTGTCCTTGAGCCAAAATCTATGACCTAGTAGTCCAATATTTCATGAAAGGTAGAAAACTACAATAATACCATGATAGTCTCTTTTGAAGAAGAATATTCCCAGGACTAACCAAGCATATAGTTACCTGATTTTCACAATAAAAAGAAATATTCATGGATCTAGTGTGTGGAAAGACAAATTGGAATGAAAGAGACAAGACAAAGTGTGAACAAAAATAAACACGTTATTTTCAAAGAAACAGAAGACAGATGAATCATTGGTTGATCACCAGTAGGACTATTACATTCTGGTTAAAGGTAAAATTAAAGAAATAAATTGTATTTAGAATAAATGACAGGAAACTATATTTAAATAAAAGAGAATGGAAATAACATTTTATTTGACAACTAAAATTGATAAACTAGTTAAGTGAAGAAGTACTTACACACAGTCAGCATACTAAATGTTATTAATACAATGGCAAGGATTAAGCTTCTATAACAAATCTTTGCTTTCTCATGATTCATATTTTCTGTGTAGCTTATCAATCATAAAATTAGATTAGAAGCATCTATATGTTTCTCTCTACTCCATGTGATAGTCACAGAGCAGTCCCACATACACAAAGTAATGTAGGACAAAATACAACTATCCCATGAAACAGTAAGTAGCTTGCATTACCAAATCCTGCTAGAAAAAGAACACTTAGGCTTGAATTAACATACAGTCCCAACTAGATTTAGTACATCTAAAATTTCAACTTTAGAAACATTTATAAATTTTCTATGATATGAAATATGTACTATAGGGGAACTAAATGTGCAGTCTTTGCAAAACATAGGGTTAAAATAGTTGGAGGATGAGAAAAGGATCGGACACTTTGTGTGAAAATCAACAAAATAAAAAGTCATATATAAGAATAATGATTGTGTTATGTATAACTTTGTAATGTCTTACAGCAGGCAGAAAAGTGTAAAATTTTTCCAAGTTGACTCAGTAGGAATCACAAGAAGAGCAAAGTGTTTACCCAGTGACAAAATACAATGAATCATACAATTTGATTCTAACCAAATTCTGATAATCAGTCTGAAAATACATTTAAAAGAGGAAGTAACTAGTGAGTGTTTGCATACCACTGGTGAAAAATCAAAGAGAACCATTGCCCATTTCAAGCTGTTTAAAAACTTTATTGAATCTCACCTATATTGCCATTTTGGGTGAAAGGTTTAAGTTAAGGTTCAATCACATAGCCAAACAGTGAAAATAAAAGAAAGTAAAGATTTGGGTAGCAACAACAGTCTCCAAAGACAATTTGAATGCAATAGCAAGAAACATAGGCTGGCATCATACCAGAGGTGCATACAAAGAAACTCTTGATACATAATACAAACCAGTATTTAAACAAAATAAAGACAGTCTATTGCAATTTTCAAAGGACTTGGTAAGTATGTTGTTACACAAGGCTCTAGTGATTCCAATTTATTCCCCAGACCTCACACATAGTCAGGAAGGCTCCTAAAAATTGGTGTTATTGAGAAAAGAGAACTTGCGTTGACAATGCAATCAAGTTATGCATGTGCTTAGTCACCAACAGATTATCTGCATATGAAATGATTCCAAAATAATAAGTGCTAAAATAGCTTTTTGTGATGATCTGTCATATATTATCACAAAGAAATAACATTTAAGCTTGATTCCCAGGAACAAACTATTCAAGGCATATAAATATTTTTATCAAGGACAAAAAAAAGATAATGCAGTATCTGTTATTTTGTTTATATGCACATTACAAAACAAAAGGTTATACAAGTCCTTAGATCAGAAGAAATAATATTAAAATAAAATTTCATGATGTATCAAAATGGTCCCTCAGTAAACCTGAAATAATAGAACCCAAAAATATTTATTATGAACATTTTTAAGCAATCAGTTCTCCAAAATATGTAAATGCACTGAAAAATAAATCATCTACAAAAAAAAAGAGCTTTTATTATTCTCCTTAATACAAAAGAAAATGTGGAAAAATCAACGAGGAAAGAGTACATACATAAATTTTTTCTTTAAAAATCAATTCTTAGAGACAGTTAGAAATAGACAATTTTTCCCAAAAACATAAGTTTCAATTATATCCTACAAATCAGGGCTGGGAAAGTTAGGTTAGTCAGCTGACAACTTACTTTAGACTAGTCACATAATCTAAAACCTGTGTTAAATATTCTAAATACCCATATATCAGCTGAGGTTTTGATTCATTTTTAAGCCCCAAAAGTTAGAATTTTTTAAATTGAAAATGTGTTTCCAATAATACCTCCTCTCATACTACAGCTATTATTCAACTGTTAGGGTTTCTTTTACTTTGCCCATCTAAACATCAGTCTGATGTTTTTTGCTTGCTCCAGTCTTTTATTCTCCACTTAATAGCCCTTGGCGATATTTATCTCATGACACTCTCCACTTATATCAATGCACTCTCTATCCTGGTACTGTATATAAGCATCTCCTTCAGATAATATTGTCACTTTTTTTCAGACTGACCCAAATTGCAGTCTGTAACACCAGCTCTTAGTGGGAAAGAAGGGTGGGAGAGGAGGTAAGTATTATTGAAAATACATTTTTGATTTACGAAAATGTTAACTTCCAAAACATACTTACCTCTTCTCACACTACAGCAAGAATCCCATATTGATAAGGTGAGGGGCCAGTGAGGGCATTATCCATATAGAATGCATCTGCATAGATCATGGATGTGCCAAATAAAATAGAAGATTAGCACCTTAGTGGGGAACCACACTACATCCAGAACAGGTATGCTCTTCACCTGGAACCTAAATCATGCACTACAAGTGGAATTTGACGTGATTCATCATCACCATTGGCCAGGCTCCAACCAGGTAGCCTGGATCCCACTGTTCAGGGTTGGAATTATAGGGCCATGGCCCCTAAATCCCACAATATATATACTTGTGAGTGGGTCCCAACCTGTAGCTATAGAGTGATGCATTCCAAGCCACCTGAATCATGATGAGAAGGTAAGCAACACTGAAGTGGACAAACCTTCTCCTCAACCTGAAGAAGTCCAAAAGTCAACACCCTAAAATCAGAATGACGGGATCCTGTATGCCATACTCAAACTGAAGAAACAGAACTCATCTAGTCTGGAATTATGTACACTGGAATTATGGGCTCTCCTGAAGGTACTGCAAAAGCAGAAACCAGGGTTGAGCTGGCCAATCTGGTGCTACCAATAGAATGTGACAAGGAGTTGAACAAATCATTGATAGGACTTTAGGGTAACAGAAGAATTGGTGGGTAGAAACATAGGTGCAATCCAGTCCAGTCCTGATTGAATGCATCTATTGCCAATGCCTGATGGTGAGGTAACAGAGACCAAAATGCCAGTAGCTGAGTGTTCCAATGAGTGGCAAATGCATCGATCATCAGTGTCCCAGAGTGAGAGCATATCCAATGGAAAACCCTTTGATGAAGCATCCATTCTGTTGGAAGAATCCGGTTGGGTCGAAACAATTGATCCACTACCAAATTCATCAACCCTAGAACATGGCAAACTAGTAGGATGATATGATGGTAGTAGGCCCTATATAGAAGATCCAAGGTTCAGAAAGAAAGAGACCTGGATCGAGTAACCCCTTGATGGGAAATGTAAAATATTACTGTGGAATTGTCAGACAACTTTGCCCCTCAATAATTCCAGACCTCGAGACATCGCCTTTTGAACAGCAAGAAGTTCTAAATCACTGATGTCGAGGGAAGCCTTGTCTTCTATCCATAGGCCCTGGAATTCCTGACCATTGATATGCACCCCATCCCTCAAGCAGGGCATCCATGAAAAGATGGATCTCTGGATGAGGTGGTGGCAGAGGAACACCTATCATAGCATTGTTCTGATCTACCACTCAAGATCAAAGATGTTGATCTTGAATAATAAGACTGGGGAGTCCAGGAGATTGCTGTTCATGAACCATTGGTCATGTAGAGACCACTGGAAGGATTGCATATGTGCTTGTCCCAAAGGAATGAGGGATTCAAGTGATGCCCACATCCCCAAAAGAGAAAGAACCATCCTTGCAGTGGGAGAAGGAGATGTAAGAGTCAAACTGCCTGTTCCATAGTGTGGAGCCGAGTTGGAGTTAGCTGAGCCTGACTGAGATACGTTTAAAAAAGACACCCAGATGAACGATATATTGTGTTGGAGTTAGAATAGATTTCTCAGATCTGATAAGAAATCCTGCCTTTTTTGCTTCAGAAAGTAGAATCTGGGTGTGACATTCCACCAACTGATGAGATGGTGCCGGCAGTAGCCAGAAGTGTATGTAATGGTCTGTGCTCAAGCCCAGGGAATGAAGGTAACAAGAAAATGTTTGTACAATTCAGCAGAACACATATGTTACTGATGCTAGTCCAAAGCTAATAGTAGGATGAGTCTGCTATGGGACCATACAGATAGGTGTCGACTTGTCATCCACAGACCTGGTGAGAAATGCCAATGCAGATTGAGGAATGACTCCATCATGAACTTTGGAGGATCTAGGAAGTGATTTAGATGAAAAAAATCGATGACCAGACGCCAATCTCCCCTAACAAACAGCCGGGAATAAAATCCTGATAGTGCTGGAAAAACTCTCTCCACTGCTCCCTTAACCAACAAATCTTTGATAGCCATGGAACAAAGTTCCAAAGTCCGAGGATCTGCAGGAAGCAGAAACACTACAGATTAGGGAGGATAGTGGTGGTGTTGATATAAACTGAATGACTAAACCTGATGTAAGGACCTGTAGTACACATGGATCTGTGGTAAAGTTTCCCACACCTCCAGAAATTCTCGGAGTGGAGCCTCCAAAGACTTCAAAAGTATGTGGTAGTTACCACCACCATTGGTAGCATTCTGACTGAGTGAAAAAACCTCGTGGATATGAGCAGAATTTATTCTGGGTAACAATGAACTGAGGGGCTGATGTCAAGGATCAGAATGCTCGAATATGGGTGAAACTATGACCTCCTGTAGGAGCAAAGGAAACTCAAGAAGCCAACAACAAAGGGATGAATACAGACAGGTGGCATGAACCTTCGATTCCAAAGACTCTGGAATGCCTGCAAAAATCAATTGTCAGAGAAAGGGAGCCTCACATAACTCACAGAGGTAGACGAACGCCCTCCAACAACACATCACGACCCAACAACATACCAGCCAAGAGACTGTGGAAAGTGCAGAAGCTGACAATTGAACCAAGATGGCTGCTAACAATGGTCCCAACTCATCATCAAATTGATGTGGCGACCACTGAGAGGCTCCCAAAAAAGGTGTAGGGTGATAAATATCTCAGCACTGTAGTTAGAATCAGACAAATCCTAGAAAATTGTGATCTATTTACGTTGACCACAGACACCATTCTGGAACCCCATATTTCCAGGAGCAGGTCTATTCTTTGATGGTCTAAATATGCTTCCATCTGTCAGTGGTAGGCTAAAACATGTTGTTCTGACAAACATAGTGGACAAGGCATAGCTGTCCCTGTTTGAAACTGAACAGTAAACCTCTCCGCATGAACCACAATATCAGGGATGGAGGGAGAACTAAGTATTCACCCTCAGACCTTTTTGCCATCTAGGAAGGCACAGACTCAAAAGCAACTGGGGAAAGACCCAAAACATCACACACTCAAGTTAATAAACTGAAGAAAAGGAGCCGGAGATGGCTGATCCAAATTGGCCTTAT